AGTACTGTACAGCAAAGTACACAAAAGCACAACCACACTCCTTGCTCTGCTCCAGCTGTGGGAAGCTTCTCCTATGACAATATATGCCAGAACATGAACTAACTTATGTGATTAGACATGTGAACACGTTTGCATCTTTGAAAGTCTGCAACTTGAAGGTTCATATGAAGGGGACTTACTATAATAGTGATGTAGTGAGGGTGTCAGCTGGCTCACTGCCTCCTGTGAGGGTGGAGCGGTGGGGGTTTCAGGAGGCTTAACTTGGTCCTTGATGGTATGCTGGTGTCAGCAAGTTACTGGTTGTGGTGCATTGGTCAACTTCCTGGCCAGCAGGTGGCGCCTCTGGGTAATAACTGGCTACTGTCATTGTGGATGGGTGTTTACTTGATCTTTGTTGGAAGAAGCGCTGGGCTGACTCAGCAGTGAGCTGGTCTGTAGAGTACACTGTGGTCTGTGCTTTCATTTCAGCCCTTGGGAGGGGAGAACCAAGATGCGTGGGGCCAAGCTAGGCAGGCCCACCTACCTGATATCAGGCACAGGTACCCACACCAAGTCTGAATCTGGTATGTAGCCTCCAAGTGCCCAGAGTTATACTTCCGTGAGATGTTAGGATGCCTCTGCTGCTCAGGAGAGGGAGGGCAACCTAAACTTATCTAGAAGAGCAGGAGCTCCAGGTACCTGGGGGGTCTGGACATTGAGCAGAGAGAGCACCCCAGCACCAAGAACTCTACCCCTGAGGGGAGGCGTGGCTCAGGCTTCTACTTCAGGTGATTGCATGTGTTAGGGCATGGAGCACAGGTGGCCTCATTGCACAGGGATGGCTGCCCAGGAAGGGTGAGGCTGCTGGGGGGCACACTTCCCCAGCAGACTAGAGGGGCAGGCTGTTGGCCCCTACAGTGACACCTGCAGTCCAGATCTGGGTCACAGAGTTGACCTTGGCTTCAGGCCTCACTACCTGAGAGAACCAAGGGATCAGAAACTCTCCTGCTTCTCAGGTTGCTGATTCAAGTGCAGAGGGGTGAGATCCCTTCTGTTGGTCTCCTGCCACTTAGACCGTTTTCTCAGTTGTGTAGGAGTGGGAGCCTTCCTTTTTTTCTTCAGTATTGCTGGGGCTTGCTACCCCAACTACTCCTAGAAGGAAGGCTGAGGTTCTTAACAGTGATGCTTGCTAAAGAGTTCCAGGTTGCAAAACTGACACTGGCTGCAGGACCTACTGTTCGTGAGAAACTGTGGCTACAGCAACTCTCCTACTCAGGATGCAGGTTCCAGAGCATGAGAGAGGGGGACCCTGCTCAGCTCCTGTCGTTTAGGCTGTTATTCTGTATGTTCCTTGGTATTGCTAGGGCCCCTTGCTGCAACTGCCTGAGGGTTGTGGCAGGGTGGGAAGTCCAGGCAGTAATACACTGAGATCAATTCTAGGTCACAGATCTAACCCTAGCAGCATATCTCTTTTTCTGGGAGTAAAACACAGCTTTAGGGGGTGTCCCTTGCTGCTCCCAGCCTGTGGCTAGACTGAGCCCAGATCCAGCTCCAAACCCTGGGGCCATCTCCACATTCCTTGCCCTGTTCCAGCTGTGGGAAGCTTCTCCTGTTCTCCAGAGCGAGCAGCCTTGTCTCTGGGCAGAAACTAAAATGCCCGCAATTATCCCTATTGCTGAGACATGGGACCCATATTTAAAATGGTGCCTTTCTCACCAACCTGGATTTAGGAGAATACCTATGACTTTACTGGATGTCTTTCCTTCTCACCAACTCTCGGCCTCCCCTGAGACAGCTCTGAGGCTCAGGAGAAATGGAATGTTCCCCCCTGGCCTGGGTTTAGCAGATCCCTGATTGGAAGGTGCATCTTAGAGGGGAGTTTTCAGACTGACCTGTGTTCTAAGGTCATACTCACTTTTCTCTCCAATGCATGTCACAGAGGCTATTTACACGTCTTCTCCTCTCTGAGATTTGGGGGTACTTTGCTGTTATGATGAATATTCATTTTCCTTCTTGAAGTTTACCATGTTGGTCTTTGCACACTATTTCACAGTGTTTCAATGGGTTGGGCAGGCTTGAAAGCCTCTAATCTAGCCGGGCTCAGTGGCTTAGCCTGTAATCCCACGCTTTGGGAGGCTGAGGTGAGTGGATTGCCTGAGCCTGTGAGTTCGAGACCCGCCTGGGCAACTTGGTAAGATCTCATCTCTAAAATAAACCAAAAAATTAGCCGGGCGTGGTAGCGTGCGCCTGTAGTTCCAGCCACTTGGATGGCTGAGACGGAAGGATCGCCGGAGCCCAGCAGGTTGAGCCTATGGTGGCTGGGAGCGGCCACTGCACTCCAGTCTGGGCAACAGAGTGAGACTCCAACTCAAAAAAA